TGTTTATTAAAGAGAAAGAAAGGGGAGATTGTGAATGTTTGTATTTCCATTAACATAGTTTAATACTTTCAATTACTACTATATAACTGTTTCAGGAGATATGTTCCCTGTTTATGTGTCTTAGGCTAGTGGAGCCTTGTTTGATATCCCTTCCCTTATACCCTTGGTGTTTCATTGCTTTCACTGGTACTTGCCATTTGTCGACCCTCGCTCTCGTTCCTGGTAACGGTGTGTGGTTACTATGGTAACAGTGTGTAGTTGCTATGGTAACAGTGTGTAGTTGCTATGGTGAGTTGCTATGGTAACAGTGTGTAGTAGCCATGGTAACAGTGTGTAGTTGCTATGGTATCAGTGTGTAGACAGTGAAAGCAGTATTAATGACATTCTCACTTTTCAGAACTAAGTGCCTAATACAATTAAGATATAACATCTAAACAGTTTTATTCCTGTTCCATATGATCGAGGATAGTCAGGGCTACAAAACCTGACCAAGTTTAGCTCAATCCAGTACTGCGCGTTTGAGATATGAGGTTAAATATACCAAAAATAGGGGTTTTCTGGTGTGACATCATTGTAAATTTTTTGGAGTATAACCTCAATATCTCACAAACTATCCATTTGTGGTCTTTCTGAGTTACACTATCTGTTTCCTCTGGCAATTTCGGTTCAGAGTCAATTAAGTTTGAAACAAAATCTCAGTATATGTGGAAGGACTGAGGATATCAAGTTTGTAAACGCGCGCGCGCGCGCGCACACACATATAATGACCTCATATCTTCCACATTTAATGATTTTTTATAGAAATTCTTTCACCATCCTGTAGCACTCATGTGCTGAGTAGGATAGCATTCAAATCATGTCTTTAAAAGCTTTAGATAGATACTGAGGGAGAAAATTCATGTTTGTAAACGCGCGCGCGCGCGCGCGCGCATGGCCCACTGCCCAGACTATATCAATAGACGGGAGGATTAAAGTACTTTCATACGCACCAGCATGCTCATTGATGGCTTAAAATGAAGCTAAGACATACTCCTATCAGATCCACCATAAGTTAGATACCATAATAATCATTAAATGTGTCTAAAATGAGGAAGCTTTGACAAGTGCGAGTGGTTTTGGCAAATTTTGGTATAAAATGGGCCCTGAGATCATATTTTTCTCATTAAAATCACATATATCACGAATATTTATGTGTGTTGGGTGTATCCTCATTGGTATCAACCATTTCAATCATCTAGAGCAGCTTTCCTGATTCTTTATCTCATGAAAATGGGCAAAAAAGCTCATAAATAGTCCAAAATCGGTCATTTTCGCCGCTTTAATAACCTCATTCCTGGCACCCAGAACACTTTGGGTACTCAAAACATGATTTTTCGGATACCTCAGACCCCTAACTAGCACATGGAGCCAGAAAGAACAGCATGTAGGGACTTCTAAATTTTCATGGTTGAGAACCCAATGTCACACTATTCGTTCATTAATCCTGCTTTCACTGAGTTGCTATGGTAACAGTGTGTAGTTGCTATAGTATCAGTATGTAGTTACTATGGTAGCAGTGTTTAGTTGCTAGGTAGTGATTTGGAGTTGCTACGGTAACCGTGTGTGGTTGCTATGTTAAGAGTGTGTAGTTTCTATGGCAACATTGAATGGTTGCTGTGGTAACAATTTAGAGTTCTTCTTCGTTGACAAATTCTAGTAAAGTCGTTTCAAATGATTAACATCGTTTAAATGAATAAAACTGAATAAAAAGTTGAAACAATAGATAATAAAATTACCCGCCATGCGCGCTACCAGAGTAGCTAGCGCGCAAAGCGTATTAAAAGATTGACAGCGAGATCATTAGCACATACTGTGCTCAAATGGCGTTCGCGCGTTACGTAAAATATAGGAAAAATTTAATATAGCAATCTCAATTCGAATCAAGATAACGCTGATAGGATGAATCAATCATTCATTGATATTGTGTGCTACACTCATATCGTTTCATCTACACACTAAGTAATCACTAATCTATAATGATGAAGTAGTGGCAGAAAAGTCATGCCTTGTAAAGTCATGCCTTGTAAAGGGAGTAGCTAAGGATTCATTGGATCTATGCGATCTCCTCGGTCGACTCAGCCGAATGATAGGAAACTTGATTGAGGGTTAAATGAGGAGGGGTGCCTGTGCCAAAAGATCAAGAATCTTAGGATACTCCTTCAGAACATCTACAATGTAGTGTACTGTAAAACAAGGGCGGTCGAACTATTCGATGACCCTGTAGAGGAATCTACGAACTTTACAAATTACAAAAAAAATTAAATTATTATGATCAGGTTTGACAGCGGTGCTATAGTCCCTTCGCATTTGATGGCTGAAGATTACTTCGGTGAGTCTGTTTGAGAGGTTGTGCTATTAGAGTGGAATTTACCAGGTGTAGGAGCTGCGCCTTGAGGGAAGAATGTAACCAGTTTTGGAAAACAGTCGCCCTGTCGTGTGGTAATATTTTAATTCTGTGAAAGCATGGTTCGAGGTAAAATTTATAAACAAGTAAGTAAAGTGAATCAATTTTACACGCTAAAACTTTATATAAACATGGGCTTTTAAGGAAAATAGATCATGTTAGGTCTGATATGTCTGACCGGAGGCCTTTCTCTTTGATATGTGGTGTATGGCCATGGGCCGTTCTCTTTTGTATGATGTGGAGGATGAGAATTTCAATAGGTATATAATATTTGATATTATATTACAAATGACGAGATCAATTTCTTGCCTGTAGACACGGATTAGTAGATGGGTTGGTCGAGGGGGGTATAATGCATGTCTGACTGCGAATCTCAGTTAGACAACTCTGATTTCAGGAACTTGGATAGACAGTTGAGCTTTGTCTTAATAAGAGACGTGATGTCTGATGTTGGCATTCTTGTAATCTGTGCGAATGTCTAGGGAGACATGAGCTGTATCCATCAGACTTATCCTTGGTTCAGAGCAGTATCTGCTGTCCTGCATTGTGGCTGAGTAGCTGTCTGTCTGTTTGGCTTTGATTTCCGTAGATATTTATGCCTGTTCCTGGGAATCTAGGGGTGTTAGTATACACACAAGGGGGTGGAACGAATGTTAGTTTATAATTTTAGTTTAGCAGCCAATACGGAGGCAAGTAACGATCGAGAAAACAAGATGTGTTCTAAACGCCGTCAAAAACCGAAAGATGATGCAAAAAGTGTGTCTAGTCAACAAACAGAAGGACTGTAACTGAGACCCTGGTTCTATGAATGCTGACGATCTACAATATGCAGTAGAGTGAGACAGAATACAAATGAAAGAACAGAGCAATAGAATTATAACAAGAAACTTAGCCTGTAGAGTAAAACGGCTGAGAATTCCAGCACTCATATCAGAGAGTGTCCCCATTTCTGTTGGTGCTGACTTCCCAGAGAAGCAGCAGTGTCGTACTTTATCAGAGTTGCTTGTACCAGAGCGGTTGATATCAGTCTTCGTTAAGTTGAGGGGCTACTGATGATTTCTTGCTTCTATCCTGCTTCTGTTAGTTTATAATTTTAGTTTAGCCTGGAAGCTAAGAGGGGATTAGTAAACACGCAATAGTATGGTACACTGCTGCCAGCTGACTCACCAGCAACAATGCATGTCCAAAGGGGAGGCAGAGGGAGAGATACCACCGACAACCTGGCTGACAGGCCACCGACAGTGCACCCACCTCTGTAGGTCTGAGGGCGACAGGTCAAGAACCAGGTGAGACTAGTAATCAAACAGAAAAGGGACCGAACTGCTGAGGTGATTGAGTGAGTGAGATGATGCATTGCTACTGGCTGACTCACCAGCAACAATGCAAGTCCAAGAAGAAAAAAGGAGAGACACTGTCTGTTATCTGGGTGAGCCACCACCGACAGTGCTCCCACTTCTGTGGGGCTGAGGGTGTTGGCTCCAAGAACCAGCCGTGAGCGAACAGCGCCTGTCCCCCTCTATGGTTAACTTGAGAGTAACAGGACTATGCCATTCTCCAGGCCAATCCGTTCAGTAACCAGCTGACCCAGCACCACCTCTAATGGAAGAAGTGGTTCGGATTGGACTTCGCTAGGATTTGTCAGTTTTTCTGTAGACACTAATGCTCTCTCGAGGAAAGACATGAGCCCCGGCGAAACTGACCAAAAACGTGGCAGGGATTCTCACCCTACATTGGTCGTGTATGGAGGATGGTTGCTGACGGTTTGCTGATGAAGAATGGCACAAATAATAAGATCTGCGAGGGATAAATTATTAAGGGATTGACATTCGATCGGTTTTAATTCGTGATTATTTTGCATTTGTTCGTCTTCAGTTAATCTCTGATAGATATAATCTATTTTAGGGTCCGCTACCAACAATGTTGACCTAATTTGTCCTCGAAAGTATATCGAGGAATTTATTTATTATTATTTACTTATTAATTATAACTGTTGCAAAATCTTCTGTGCTCTCTGTTAGGAAGATCAATTACCTAGTTACATTTCCGTAGTACTTGTTGATTCAGATAATCTATAACGTTGTTTTTTCATCTTACTTTTTGATATTGTTGGCATAATATTTTCAAATTATCCCCTTTGATGAAACCTTCATCACAAATCAGAATATTATCTGTAGCCTTATTTGTTATAACACCTATCTTGTTATGAAGGCAATTGCAACTACCTGTTCAATGTTCATAATCTTCTAATATTCATTTATCAATCTTGTAAATATACAAGATTTTTTAAATTTAGTCAAAGCATGTTCATTGTTCAGTGTATTCAACAATGAACACACATATTTTATCTGATATAAACTGATAGTGGATATAAAATAAATTTTACGTTTTACTAATTTTGTTTTGTTACTAATTCTGAAATAAATTATACGTATTCAAAACTTCCGTTGTAAAATATACATGGTACTCTGTTGCATTTTCCATTTGAATCAGTGATTATTTTCAGTATAACATTATGGTGAATTATTTTCAGTATAACATTATGGTGAATTATTTTCAGTATAACATGAAACATTATGGTTTAATCAGAGAGTGTTTCCGCTAATTTTCTTGATATGTTATGAATAAGAAGCCAAAGATTGACAACATCATCAGTGTTTCCAACCTGAAAAAGGTAATGTTACACTTAAGTTCAAATAAAAATGTCTGTTCTCCCCCGGCCCTTGCCATTATAATTGAATTTCAATCTCATTCTTCTGATAATTGTGAATGGCACCTGAAGAGCTTCTACCTCTGAGTCTAACTGCAACTTTACCTTTGACTTCATAGTCCCGGCCTGGTACAACAAGTTACCTGTTCAATGTTCATCGCAAAAAATTATTCACAAGACACAGTTATATCAATGCTTTTTATACAAAGTTACAACAACGTCTTCATGTTACGTATCCTGGGTTTGGACAGGATATTACCCGCTTAAAATATTTCCATCGCGTTACATAATACTCAATAAATGTAATAGATTTGCAGTGTTGTAATTAGTTTAAATGTCAACTTTAATGTCGTTTAATCAAAATGATAACTTATTCAATACAGCTCAATCTTTATAACCACACAAGTCTCACATACCACCACAAAGCCTCACTGGTACCCCACCTTTCAGACGGAGTTTATAGAGCTACATGTGCTGGTAGCTAACAGCTTATCATGGAGACCTGAGAGTTGGCAGGCTTACGACAGGGGCTCTTCTATCAGCATCGGATTTGTCAAGTAATGCGAATTTTCTGAATATCACTTCTCTTTGTAGTTTGTGGCAGTTGAGATCAATCTACTGCATAATACTTCAATAATACTTCCCCTATACTAAACAAACTGTATTAAAGCATTCTTGCTTTCTCGAAATATTTACTTTCTAAAATCTTTCGAATAAACTGATTGTTTGATTAATGTGACCATTATCTCCAGGGTTGACTCAGACACATCACTACACGATATAAGAGCAGCACTACATCTACAACTACGACAAGAGAACCTACCTGAACAGTATGTTTATTTGAGACAGATAGGAAGAGCTTCTACCATCTGCAGCTCCAGACAGGTTAGGGAGTGTATCAGTGTGTTACAGTGTGTTACAGTGTGTTACAGTGTGTTACAGTGTGTTACAGTGTGTTACAGTGTGTTACAGTGTGTAACAGTGTGTTACAGTGTGTTACAGTGTGTAACAGTGTGTTACAGTGTGTTACAGTGTGTTACAGTGTGTTACAGTGTGTTACAGTGTGTTACAGTGTGTTACAGTGTGTGACAGTGTGTTACAGTGTGTTACAGTGTGTTACAGTGTGTGACAGTGTGTTACAGTGTGTTACAGTGTGTGACAGTGTGTTACAGTGTGTTACAGTGTGTTACAGTGTGTAACAGTGTGTTACAGTGTGTAACAGTGTGTTACAGTGTGTGACAGTGTGTTACAGTGTGTTACAGTGTGTAACAGTGTGTAACAGTGTGTTACAGTGTGTTACAGTGTGTTACAGTGTGTTACAGTGTGTTACAGTGTGTTACAGTGTGTTACAGTGTGTTACAGTGTGTAACAGTGTGTTACAGTGTGTTACAGTGTGTTACAGTGTGTTACAGTGTGTGACAGTGTGTTACAGTGTGTTACAGTGTGTGACAGTGTGTTACAGTGTGTGACAGTGTGTTACAGTGTGTTACAGTGTGTGACAGTGTGTTACAGTGTGTTACAGTGTGTAACAGTGTGTTACAGTGTGTAACAGTGTGTGACAGTGTGTTACAGTGTGTTACAGTGTGTTACAGTGTGTAACAGTGTGTTACAGTGTGTAACAGTATGTTACAGTGTGTAACAGTGTGTTACAGTGTGTTACAGTGTGTTACAGTGTGTAACAGTGTGTTACAGTGTGTTACAGTGTGTGACAGCTCAGTGTGTTACAGTGTATGACAGTGTTACAGTGTGTTATAGTGTGTGACAGTGTGTTACAGTGTGTTACAGTGTGTTACAGTGTGTTACAGTGTGTGACAGTGTGTTACAGTGTGTGACAGTGTTACAGTGTGTTACAGTGTGTAACAGTGTGTGACAGTGTGTTACAGTGTGTTACAGTGTGTTACAGTCTGTGACAGTGTGTTACAGTGTGTGACAGTGTGTTACAGTGTGTGACAGTGTGTTACAGTGTGTTACAGTGTGTAACAGTGTGTAACAGTGTGTTACAGTGTGTTACAGTGAGTTACAGTGTGTTACAGTGTGTTACAGTGTGTTACAGTGTGTGACAGTGTGTTACAGTGTGTGACAGTGTGTAGCAGGGAACTTTGTAAGGGAACTTAACACACATTTCCATGTCGAAACCTGACTTATCCTGACCCACAAATAATACAACCCGACAAAAACCCGTTAAATATCTAACCAGAAACCTAACCAGAAACCTAACCAGAACCCGACAAATTATACTTAATTATACTAAAGTATAACTTGACAATAAAAACTAATTAGCATGGTCGGGGTCTTTGTATCAGAATCTTTTCTAGCAGTAAAGGAACTCGTTTGAATGCTCAAAAGTGAAATGTTTTGTCCCGGCACTTTGTGTTTGTGGAGGAGGGGTGTTAGGATCCATCACCGTTAATTACTTATCAGTCCTAATATTCCCCTTTGTGGCAAATTGTTATGCGCGGAATTTACAAGTACTTCAGTTCCGTCTGCTGAAGAATGAAGTTTCATTTTCACTGCTAACACTGTCTTTTCGGTAAAACTCAGCTACTGACAGACAAATGAAGCATGTGAGATTTTCATTAAAACCACAACAATACTCTCTCTCTACTCACAATGACATGAAATGAAAGCGAAATGAACCCACTAAAAGCATCAACCCCCTCATGCACCATTCACACGGCTACACTTATTAGATCTGCAAGATTACGTAGCTAGGACACGTGGGTGTGAGGGATTGAGTGAGGGACGCTTCTAATTAGACATGCTGTGATAACAGGTACCTCTAACGGTAAATATATCCCACAGGAACGGTCGCTGAAAGCTAAGGACTTTTCTCCCCCTTTCTATGCTAATGCTGAGATCTGTGTACTGTCCGCTGATAACATGGTCTTTCATACCAGAAGTTAGTTTCTTTCTTTTGTTAGTTTTTTAACCTTCGTTACTTGTTCGAACTGGGACTGCAACTGCTCTGTTTTGGATTGTTCACATATTATTACGTCTACAACTTTTTGTCCATTACAGTGCCCTCATCTTGTTAGTTAAACCCCCATCCATCATCCCCCATTATTACGACAGAATTTGCTTTAATAACGTCAGCATTTGACTAAGGATTTCTTATAGCGTCAGCATTTGCTACAGATCGTTTTGGTTGACGTCAGCATAAGTAAGACCTAAAGCTTAGCTACCAGCTCCCTGATTCGTTACCAACCGTCAGCATCTCCAAATCCTCGCTTTAGCCTGCTGACGTCATCACATGTGAACGTTCCCTTTATATAAAAATAGCTCGTAGTTAATGTTGTTTGAAATTTAAATTTAATTTTCTCAGTTGCAACGTTTCATTTTTGTTATTCAGCTTGAATTTCTTTTTGTTATTCAGCTTGAATTTCATTTTTGTTGTTCAGCTGTTGATAAATGGTATCTCTACCATTTATCAACAGCTCAGTTTTATCTAAAATGGCCAACCCTTCTTAATATAGATTGTCTTATAAGGTAGCCATATAATAGGTAATGCCTATAACTAGCTTATTCCCATGACAGTTGCCAGTTGTGGGAATAATAATGATAGCTTATGTATTTGATCGTATATGGTGCATAACTTGTGATCTGCCAAACATTTGTAATTTTTTTCGCTGTATCATCAGTATCTGGATTATTATTTGCTTTAAAGCAAGTGACATTAGTTTTCTACAAGTGACATTAGTTTTCTACAAGTGATATTAGTTTTCTACAAGTGACATTAGTTTTCTACAAGTGACATTAGTTTTCTACAAAGTGACATTAGTTTTCTACAAGTGATATTAGTTTTCTACAAGTGACATTAGTTTTCTACAAGTGACATTAGTTTTCTACAAAGTGGGACTAATTTTTCAGAAATGGGTAGACACCTACCTAAAATAATGACCTCGGAGAAGTCTCCCACCCCCTCCAGAAAACATCGCAACTCGTGTACGTGATGCTTGAAAACACACTGCATTCCTGCATTCCTCATTTTTATTTCTTCAGATACCTCTATAACATTTAATCAGTTTCTACTGATAAACGAGTTTCTTTGTCAAATCATAATTCAAACAAATTAAGATGAAAAATGGAAACAAGTGACTTTTATTGCTCCAGATCTGCATGACTTGGAATGTAACACGAGGATTTGCTTGAATTCTTTAAAAACCTATCTTGCATTTGGAACTTCATCATTTTACAATGAAGTTATGGGAGGTTGCACATTAGAACATCACCAGCTATCTCTAAACCAATGCCTGGCTCCCATAGTTGATCATGGCTGAAAATTTTGAACTTGCCTAGAGTTGACAATGAATAGTTGTCAACTCTAGTATAACTAAGTATAACTATGAAAATCACAACCCCAATCTTTCATCTTAAATTTAATAAGTTTCAACAGGACATAACGTGACATATTATTTCAGTGAATATTGTTTCAGTGAATCAGAACGGCTTGCTGCCCCCTGTAACGCCTGTACCAAACAGACTAGGTACCCACAACACAGCTCCTATCACTAGTTTGGAGAGGAGCAAGTCTCCTTCTTTCAGGTCAGTCAGAACATTTACTATCATTATTTTCTAACCCAAAGACTGCATAGTGTCACAGGGCAGTCTTTTGGTTTTGATTTTTTAACCTAGAGCAATTTCTCAATTTACGCTCGAATAATTCAGGCGGCGTTTGGTTATTGAACTTACGGGGCCTCAGACTTATAACTGATTTCGATTTTACAATTCGATTTGCATAGCTAACGGCCCTTTGAGCATGCTGAATTAGTAAATGAGATTTAGTCAGATTTAGCAGACCGTCAGCTGTGATGAATATGATTTCCTCAATCACATAAGTACTTAACCCAATGATCCTCACCCCTCAGATCGTTACAAAGTTTGGATAATAGCTCCTACTCTATGTTCAACAACAGTGAGTTGATGATGGCTGAAATAGCGTTCTTGGAAGCGAAGCGCGCTTTGGCTGATGCACATGCCCAGGCGCTGCGCAACCAATACATGCATAATCAGAGTGTAATGTTAGAGAATGGGATGGGATCTGAGGGAGAGTCTGAGGACGAGGAGGCGGAGAAACAGAGAAGAGAAGAGGAACAGAGGAAGAGGGAGGAGGAGGAGCAGGAGAGAGAACGAATCAGGTTTAAATTTGGAAAATACAACTTTCTAGAGATTGTTCATTAGTTTAAAAAATACAGCGAAAAAAAAACTAGCACTACACTTTCCGAGTAGTAAATTATATCAATATTTTATTTCCAGGAAGGAGGAGGAGGAAGAGAGGAAGAGGTTACTTGAAATAGAAGAGGAAAAGAGACAAGTACAGAAGGAAATAAACAATGAAAGACAGAGGATAAAGGCTGAGAGGGAGGAAAGGGAGAGACAGATCGAGGAGGAGATTCAGGCAGAGGAGGACAAAACCAGAGCTCTTTATGGTTAGATTTACATTTCAGTACTTGAGGACCATTGTAGACTTTCAATATAATCTTAATTCTTATTGATGATCATCAATTTGGTTGAATAGATATTTCAGACTTTTTGCCATTCTGTGATCTAATGTAATTATTTTTTTTGCTTTAATAGATTTAAAACGAAAAGCAGCAGAAAAGAAACGTCTTGAAGAAGAAGCAAAGTAAGAAATTTATTGTTGCTTAACCATAAGATAATTGTTACATTCAATGTTGTCATCGGATATAATACTAGAATGTTCTGTTTTTACTGTTAAATGAGCAATTGATTATTTAGAATCGCAGAATTGGAGAGAGCCGCCAGGGAGGAAGAAGAAGAAAGAAGACGAAAAGAAGAAGAATTACGGAGAAAAAAGGAAGAGGTATGATTGAAAAAATTCTCTCGAAAATATGATTTCTTCTTTACAATCACTGCACGACTGAATATTTATCAATCCAATCATTTGATGCATGTTCTGATTCCGCGTGAGATTGATTATCACACGATTCCTTGATCAGAAGAACAAGCTCAGAAGTTGGGTTGAACATCTGCTTCTGGATGAGTTTAGCAAAGCTGAAAAGAAAGCAGCAGAAAAGATAAGAATTGAAGAGGATTATTATGAAGCTTTAGCAAGAATAAATAACATTTATCATGTAGATGAGGAAATCATTGAATATGACAAAGCAGACGAACTTGAAAAAATTTCCGAAAATCTAGAGTCAGATGATAACATTAATGGACTTGAAGGGCTGACATCAGAAGATCTTATAAATGAAGATGTCGATGAAGATATAAATAAAACAAGTGCTAAAACAGAGCTACTGCCTGTCAAGGAAACGGATCAATGCATGAAAAACAAAGTAATTGCCCATTGATTTATTTCTTAATTTCTTTAGCATGATTTAAAGCTCGCTCGCAATTGCAACATTCTCACAACTCCCGAATCTTGAACAATAGATCAACTCTAATAAGTTAATATATCTTTTGTAGTAAAAAATACTTACCCCCAAATCCCATCTCGGTATTTAAAGATAATTAGCTGATCATATATAATTGGCATTTAATTACTGGTAATTAGTAATTACCGGCTAATAAAATAGCTGCTGCTAAGGACCAGCTGATAAGTGAGTGGGTAGGCGGTATCCTCGACTTAATATCATCAGACCTACTTAAACAGGAGAAAGAAAGGGCTAGGTTAGCCGAGGAGATGTTCAGAAGAGAAGAACAGAGACTTAGAGAAGTATGCCCTCTTTGTATTTTGGGTTTTTTTATGGAATTTAAGATGTAGATACATTTTGATGTAGATCAAGGTGAACTCTCGTGGATTTATTTAGTCGCAGTTCGAAAAATAGGATTTTTATTTTGCTTCTGACGTATTCTTGTAAGAACTTCAGATCATCTTGGGACACTTCCGACTATGCTGTTATCAGCTTATGAGTAAAATACAATCGTTTAAATCAGAGGCAACGTTAAGATGATGCGGAGGTGGAGTCGCATAATTTGCCTTTTAATGCATTTTTGCATAATTCGGGTTATCATGCATTTGTTCGCATGTATTGATATTTTCCGCATGTTTTCGCATAATTCTTGCTTATGGACACTTTTTTGAGCCTGAAAACGAGCCTCTGACTCTTAAGATTTTCAAAATTTTTGGGATCTTTTTTAGCCACTAGATCATGATTTTGACATTTTGGGACGATTCTCTCATGTCAGATATCTAATGCTACGATCATGGACCACTTCCTGAAACGAACATCACCGGATCATGGACCATCATTGATTTATAGATCATAACAATTGCCGGCTAATTCTCGATTTTTACAGCGCATTTGCTGCACTTTTACCTTTTTGGACGAACACGAAACCTCATAGCTTACCAACCTTGATATTGCCTCTGGTCTAAACTCTATCCTTTTGTTGGTCACTGCAAAAGTGCCAACTGAGCCCTTATAAACCTAGATAAGTCCTGTAGTCGAGGAACACTAAACTTGTAACACCTTTAACTCATAGTTCATACCTTTAACTCATAGTTCATACCTTTAACTCATACCAACCCAATAACCTAAGGCAGGTGAAAGTGAGGATGAGGAAATGGATGAAGCCATGAAGCTGATAGATGATTTGACACAGACTCCCCGACCATGGGGAGTTGAGAAGGATCCTAACAAGAAGAAAATAGTGGTAAGTAAAGGGTAGCTGATCACCGTCTTGAATGTTCACTAATCACAATCTGAATGTTCACATAACTCCATTTGAATGTTCACAAAGCACGCATGATAGCATTTTGTCTGGTGTATGGTTGATGTTTCACTGTTGATTGTCTCTCCGAATAGAATGATAGAGTAAAAATCCTTTATGAGGATCTCATAAGCTTGGAGCCCTGTAGATACAGCCGTTGGCTTTACATCTAGAGCACGATCTTAAGATTCGCATTGTTTGCATAACTTAGAATGATAGCTCCTAGGTAACAGCTTTGAGCTGCACGAATGAACACGGGACTACACCCTATAATATTGGGATTAAAACTATCTGAAATATCATTAGGACTTGGTATTGTTCCAACCAAGAATTTGTTCCTCAAAACAACTATGAACAATCATTGAACTGGATTGTGCTCAAATCTTCTTATTGTTCCATTGATGCAATAAATTCATTTGAATCGGTTTGACGTTTGAATAATGATTTGCAATGCAATGATGTATGCGGTAAATTTAGAATCATGGCATACAATTTGGCAAATGATAGTGAAGATTACGAATGACAGACTAGATTGAATTTTAATTTTTGGTGGGTTGGACTCCTCTTCCGACAAATGAGCTTTCTGTTTCCAATAAATCAAACCACGATCCTTAATAATCAGACAGTTCAAGATAATCTTGTAGGAGTGGACAATATGGGTTCTGGGTGGGGTCAATTAAGGTAGTATTTAGGTAACAGTTTCACGAATTAGTAAATGGGACCAGACCCAAAAATCAAAAGCTATCTTATGTACCATTCTAGAACTTGGCATAAAATGAAAAGGTGTTATTTGAACCAATAATTTTGTTTCCAGAACAATTGCTCTGAACTCGATTGTGCTCAATTTTTTCTATTGATAAGAAAAATTCATTTGAATGGGGCTGAGCAAAGATATGGAATGCTGCATTGGGTAAATTTAGAATGGCAAAGGAGAATTAGTTTGTCAGATGATAAATGGTAATGAAGATCACGAATGATCAATGACATGCTGGATTTGAATTTAAAATCTTCGTCGGCTGGGCTCCATTTGGACGAATGAGCTTTCTGTTTTGAACAACCATGATCCTTCATAATCTGGTACTTCAGAAATATTTATCTGATTTTGTATCTTATTTTTGGAGTAAACAATGCAACAAGGTGCCGCTGAATTCTAAATAGCTAAATGATGGTAGTAACTATGTGATACAGTGTCTCTGAATTACAGTTGGTACAGGTGCAACTGGTGCATGTTTTCATTGTGTTGTCATGGCAACTTGCCCCCTGAAAACCACACTGTCTGTTTCATCTACCTGTTTCCATGGCAATGGGGGTGAGCATGCGTTACGACCAAGTGCCACCTGTTTGTCTTCAACCAATCAGGTGCTTTCTTTCCCATCACGTGACTTAACACAGCCAATGAGGTAAAGTAGACCTGTGAGATGATCCTATCTGAGAAGGAACTTTCTCCTGACAATTGCATTATAACTGATGGTCGACTTGTGGGTGTATAGATGAATTGCACCATCCACACTTTACACAGACTTTAACAGTTGATGGAGCTGAGTTTTAAATTCATTAGGTGGCGAGTGGTGTGAAATAGGGCACATACAGTGAGGACAGGAGCTGATAGTTCATTAATCATTATAAAGGAGCATTATTAAGGAGCATTATAAAGAGGAGTTAGGAGGTGGAAGACAATATTATTTACTTCTCTCCTCCTCTTTCAGAATCCAGTCATTTATCACACAGTTATAAAGAGTGTCAATTCATCCCACAGTGTCAATTTCTCACTAAAGACAAGACCAGTACAACTGTCTGCAGGGTTTAGGTTTTAACCTGAATTATTATCTTATTGTGCCTGTGGTCTTAATTTAGCAGCTAATTTTCTGGAAAGTTCCCAAATAAGTTACAGTAACAACTGGCCGCTCTCTTATCAGGATTGCTAAAAATGTTACAAAATAGTTTAGACTTTATGGTATATTAAGTTAAATGTATTACCGAGAATTACAATGTTTATGTATCAGGGTAATGTTGCATGCATATATCTGATTCGTCGGTAACCATGACAACGCTGTAACATGAGGCATAACGGACCAAGTCCCTGTTTTTTATTCAATTAAATTGAGGCATTGAGCTGCGGAGGAGGATTTAACAATGCCGACAATTAATTAATTACCACAGAACAGTTTACACTTCCTCTTATCTCACCAACACCAGTCTCCACTCTTCTCAAAACTGGGTATGTTTTGGGAGGTTAGGAACTGTTCCAGTCTCTACTATGCTCCCTTCTCCTCCTCCTATATCTTAAATCTATTGTTCATATTGTGGGTCAATTTTAACAAGATCATGGGTTGATTTTAACAAGGATGATTGAACCCCCTTCACCAATGTTTCAATCAAAATTCAAAATCAGTAATCTGTACAAAGTAAAATCATGTAGATATTGTGCCCTAATAATCTCGAAGAGTAGGTTCCAACAGCTGTTCTAGTTCACTGAATATAGGGCCCGATCCTAATAATAGTAACATCAGCTAGTAATAGTAAATGAGATCAGACTTGCCAGGATAAATTAGTACAGTAAACACTCTCCTTACTTTCACCTGCACAACTTGTAACGCTACTAATGGTAATTCCATCATTTAATTTGACCTGTCCACTGACCTAGTAATTTGAGACCCTGCCCACTGAAGTAGATCGAAACGATCCTGGTACTAATCCTGGAATACTTGTTTAAGGGATGAAATTTCCTCAAAAAGTTGAGACCTACTTGGTGTGGGTCAACAGTCCCATGTTTCCGCGGTAGAAAATGGTCAAAGGGGCTACTTAAAATAATAATTTCCAGTGAATATCCAGTGTGTTTAGTGGTTGCTATGGCAACATCCTCTTAACCAGGCTATCGAGCGATACAACACATATATATATAATATAATAACAGTTATTCGAGCCTTATGCCTCGAAAAAAAGTTAGAATAAATTTCATATCAGAAAGAGTTTGCTGACCGATTTACGGCTCACTCCAACAGCAAGTTTACACATAAACCACAGTTATAGTGTAGATATTAAATCAGCACCAGAATGTTAACCGATCCCTCTCCCTTGATACTGACGTAACATGCGAACGATCCCTTGAAGGGGCAGAGGGGATACGTCAAGAATGTGAGGTGGTATTCAATATTTGTAGAGTTCTAGTTGTCATGGAGATTTTTTACTTATCATTCAGTAATTGTTCCTAAAGTAACTCACTTCACATTTCACCATGTCATTATTAAAAGTCCTGGCGTCAAACCAAATAGGAGGATTGAAAACATCAATAATCAATGTCACTAAGTCATTATTCAATATTCATGTACTATTAAATCGGATATGTGTACATATTTAAAATATTTCAGGATGAAAATTTGACAAATTTAGAGTTTGAACCAGTTCAATCTGAACATTCTGAGTTCTCTGAGCTGAGTAAAAAATCTATTAAAGGGAAGGAAAAAGCTCCTGAGGTTCCTTTAGAACCTCCTAAATGTCTTGAATTGCCTGCGGAGGGTATAACCTCTCAGCGTTCTAAGAGCAAAAGATTGTTATCAAGTCAAAAGGTATCCTAAATGTGCATGTATTAAGATTGAAATAAATTCCAGAAGATTCTGTGGAACTCAAATGATGATTCTCAATGATTTTGTGTCCGTGAATCAGTAACGAGATAATGAATCAATGTAGAAATACGGCATTGTCATTACAGAGACCACAGACCGTCATGTGTAAATTTACATGGGATCCCAAACCGTGACGTGATTTAAAGGATAATAATGACTGTTCTATTGGGGGCGGGGTAGGGACGATAATGTATGTGATCACTCAGTTGAATGGTTTTGAGCAATCAGCCATAACAATGATGCATGAAAATGATTGCAAGTTGTGTTTGAAACATTTAGAGGATCACCCTGAAATGACATGAAAATTAGAAGATTGATTACCAACAATGCCAACATTACTCTCGCCCAGAATGTGTAAATCCTTTCTAAAATGAACACCTTTTGTAAAGCTAATCCTTCATGAAGTCCAACTTTCTGAACCTTTTTAATTTATGAAGTATGATCCCTACCCCCGCCCATTGTATAAAACTTAACCAGATCACCCTGTAGACGGTATCAGGTATCTCGATGATATCTGGACAATATCTCTTGCTGAAATGTGTTAAATCTCCCAGCGTGTAGCTAAAGAGTACACAAAGGAGGAGTTGGAAGAAGTGGCGTATCTGCGTGCTAAGATAGGAACATACCGAGATCATAGGACCACCATGGAGACAAAACACAAGGACTTGTTGGATAAATTATCTGATATGGAGAAGAACTGGGATGAAGATGGTGAGCTACTTTTCTTGATATTTTCCCAATTATGTTTCTTTAACCCATATAATACCAACAACTCTAAACGTTCGAATTTTTTGACGAAATTTTGTTTCCGAAGCACTAAGACACCAACTCCGACGATGCAATAATAATTTTGAAAAAATTTATATTTTTAATAGCTTTTTCGACCCGTACTTTTAAAAGGTCATTGTTGGAGCTTACTTTTTTGGAAAATTGTATCGTACTTTTAAAAGTACATCATATTTGAATGATGTACTTTTAAAAGTACGGGTTTAATAAATAATGTACTTTTAAAAGTACGGGTTTAATGAATAGTGTACTTTTGGAGGTACATTAGTTAATTAAATAGAAACTCAGGGTCAGATAATAAAACTAAAAGCCTTTGTCAGAATGGCTGAATAAAATTTAAACAATACCATACAAAATTTAAGTGGTACACTGAATAAATCATGATGGTGGGAACAGCTATACTTATAAACTACTATCACAATTCCATTTACCAGTTAACTATCAATTTTACTAAAATTGTCAGGTTTTGTGCTTTTTACTCTAACTGATGATAAGGCTTAAAACAAAGCACACAAAGTGCAACGTCACACACTTCGCACTTATAGTTGCTGCGACCTTTGCAGCCATTCAAAGCACATCGTCTCTGCTTTGTTTTTACTGGCCAGTGAGTGTTAGTTCTACTCTCCAGGCGGACCTCTGGGGTAACTCTGTTGTCACCCTTCCACACTGCAACTCTTTGGCATAGCGATGATGGGGGCTGCAATCTCTTCTTCAGGTAGGCTATTGTTATTCGTCGAATGAAGTTCAGATATGTCAGTTTCGTCTTTTCATTCGAATGACATATCTCATACAAAGAATATGATGCAGCTTTCAGGCAATCAAGCGTATTTATTAGGTGTGGCCACCACCACTTTTTTCCCCTTAAAGAGATTCTGTAGCTAGCAACATGGCCATCAAACACATCAACGTTACCCATTCCCTTGTTATACTCCTTGACAAGAGATGGCCGTTTGATTTGAATCTTCTTCTTTTCTGCTTGACTGTACCGTTCCACATCTGTGATAGGATTAACAGTAAAGATGTTGGAACCAACATTCACGACGCTATTGTCATGCCATTTTACAATGGTCACCCCTGTAAACTCGTCAATTCCCTTTGAAAAGCTCCCACGCCCTTCTTTCTTAAGTGCAGAATCAGTCTTGGTGGGGCAGCTATTTGTTCTCTGACTTTGAATAGTACAAGATGCTCCAAGCTCCATGGCAGAGAATATGGCCAACAGCTTATAGCTGGCAAACCAATTGTCATAAAAGACGTTACTTTCTTTGGGTTCAAGAATCTCCATGGCCAGTTGTAAGGTAACCCGACTGGTGAGGTTCTTTCCGGGATCTCCGCCAATTCCTTTCTTACCACAGTAAGGGAGGCAGTGGTACGGGAATCCCGATGAGCCAACCAGCCAAAAGTTTTTATAGCCAAATCGGATACTCTTATCCTTCATACGTTGTTTAGCGCTATGCATCCCGGTGTAATGGACCATCTGCTCGTCAATACTAAACGTATTATCAAGGTTCTTGAACTTAGCCAGACTTTGATTCATGATATCGTAGAGAGGTCTTACCTTCCAATACTTATCTGTGGTGTCCACATCTCGATTGTCCACGCAATGAATGTACTTCTTCAGCAAATTATATCGGTTCCTTGATATGGCATCAGTAACCACACTCACATTAGTATCAACATTTGAGTCCCAATAGAGGTGTGCTTGAGGTAACTTGTGATAGCCCGACAAAAGCAAAACCCCGATAAACGTTTTAATTTCATCTTTGTTTGTCTTGAAGGTTAAATCGCCAAATCGGCTATGAGCATAACGCTCCGACTCTGTGATAATTTGGGTTAACAAACTGTTTTCGGGGTCATCTACAAGTTTCTCGAAAATTTCATGAGGTAGCAAACCACCGAAATCTTGGATCAGTTTTGATCTATTAGCAATAACCTTCTCACTATATGATTGGCGAGGTGAACGATTTGGAGCTTGAGCAGAGTCGGCAACCCACTTACACGAGTTATTAATCTTCGGGCAGAGTCCTAAAAGTTTATTAATCTTCTCAGATGTATCTGTTGATGTGTCTTCGACAATATTTTGAACTTCTGATCGAAAAGCGACTATGTCTGGATACTTATTATTAATAGCATCAGTTGAACTTCGTGTAATAGGGGCAGGGTTCGTCAATTGTTCTGTGTCCAATTCATTATCTGACTCTTCTCCTACAAAATGTAGCTCATAGGTTCCAGCAGTATCTTTTACCGCAGACAAGGGGAGATTGTCACCATCATTGTCATCGATCATTTCCGTATCACTCTCAACACCATCCGGAGGAAGGATGACAACATCTATCTCATTCGAAGACACTGTGGTTGCCAGCTCTAGAGCTTCGTCCAGCGTTCTCAAGTTATTATGCAAAGAAGTTTGTTCTTCTCGAACATTAATACGGACATTTTTCTGTTTCTTCGCTTTATTTTTGGTCTTCGTGTTGCTTCGAGCTGATTGTCTGGATCCTGTTAACTCCTTCACATCTTTTTCTAGAATTTCTCTCTTAACTTCAGCCATCTTCTTTGATTTTGGGGATTTAGTCGATCTTGAAGGATCCACTTTTTCACCCGGTTGTTCCACGTCTTCCAGAGCGGCCTCTACTTCAATGTACTCTTTCTTAATGTTTACAATCCTAGATCTTGTAACTGGTTTCCGATGTATGTTTACTATTGAATACTGACATGATTGGCTGCCATCAGCAATCTGCTGTTCCAACGTAAGATTCCTTTCCTCTTGTAGTCTATGCATTTCCTCAGCTGCGTTGTTCTGCTCCTCTAGAATTGTCTCAGCCTCTGCTACTCTCTTCTGTTCCTCTAGAACTCTCTCAACCTCTGCTACTCTCTTCTGTTCCTCTAGAACTCTCTCAGCTTCTGCTACTCTCTTCTGTTCCTCTAGAACTCTCTCAGCTTCTGCTACTCTGTTCTGTTCCTCTAGAACTCTATCAGCTTCTGCTACTCTGTTCTGTTCCTCTAGAACTCTCTCAGCTTCTGCTACTCTCTTCTGTTCCTCTAGAGCTCTCTCAGCTTCTGCTACTCTCTTCTGTTCCTCTAGAACTCTCTCAGCTTCTGCTACTCTCTTCTGTTCCTCTAGAACTCTCTCAGCTTCTGCCACTCTCTTCTGTTCCTCTAGAACTCTCTCAGCTTCTGCTACTCCCTTCTCATTCTCACCATTTTCGGTATTCTTTAAGTTGTGAAAAGCTTCTGGGAGCTTTAGGGTTTGTTTGTGGACATCTAGCATTCTCTTACATTCCACAAACTGAATCTTGATCCCTCCTGATCCTCCTCTATAAATCTTCAGTACTCGAGCCGGCTCCCACTGTCTCCCCCATTCTTTGTAAACAATGCAAGATCGCCTACGTCGAATTTATGGTCCTGGTGTAGTTTAGTATTAGCCATTTAATAAATAAGTTCATCAATGTGAAAATGCCTATAATTGGATTGTATCTCATGATGACAGATGTAGAGAAGTAATATTATATAGCATAACAGTAGTGTATAACACACCAGGGTCGCATCTTTCTCAGGGCTCCTCTTTCTCCTCCTCCTTTTCGCTGTATCTGACAAATCCATGTACACGTCCTGTTCTTAGCTAAGAAATGAACTAAGAATATACTAAGAAAAGAAAAATTACAATAAGAAAAGAAAATACTAAGCTAAGAAATGTTAGTCAATAAACCAGCAAAAGGCGTTACAACAAAATCGATATTTCATGCCCCACGGAGAGCACTGCTGACAGTCTAATAAATTGAGACCGAAGTTTATTATAAACTGCACCAAATGAAACTGAAAGCTTATAATATAAAGACGTAATAAATATAAATGATATCGGATTAACACATTGCCTAAGGAGACCTCACACTATAATTACATGAAGTGATAGTCAACTGTGAAATTATGCCAGTGCTGGCGAATCAGAGCGGAAAATTTCTGTTGTGACTTCTGTTCTGATTCAGAACAATTTACCTGCCATGACAGTCTTACCGGCATTAATTAAGCCAGCAGGCATTGTGTAGTCTATATAATTATAAACCTGTACTTTTAAAAGTACATTTTTCGTGAAACCTGTCCTTTTAAAAGTACATCATACAAAGATAATGAACTTTTAAAAGTACGTACTTTTAAAAGTACATCACTGTCTAGAATGATGTACTTTTAAAAGTACACCCAATTTACATCTCAATTAGAGGCAATTTATGATTTTTATGTCGCTCCACATTATTGCCTATTTATTGCATAATCGTTTAGGCAATATTAAAAAACCAAATTTGGGATCCATCAAAGTTGGAGAATTGGCTGGTGGTACCGAAAATTTACCATTTTTGAAAGTACCATTTTTGACCACCTTTGCCAACATCCTATAAATCTCTTGCTTTTGATAACCATCTGGTCAGGGTGCTAAAATAATCAGCAGACCTTTTTTAACCTAATGCAAAAAACTGCATCAAAAAATATTTGTCACGAGACAAGTTAGGTCACTGTTTATGAACCGTACTTTTAAAAGTACCGTGGAAGAATATGGGTTAAACAATAAACTTGGCCTTTTCAAGAGTAGTTCCTCCCCCGCCCTGAGGAATACACTTATCACTGTTATACATATCGAGTTCAATCAGATATCACCTGTGAACTGCATCTTGCACTGTACACTGTACAGATACACATTATGCACCTTTTTAAAAAATTTGTATGCTCTATCAAAACTTCAATACTTTTGAGATACCGGTGGAAGGTTTGGTAATGAAATTTGGAAAATTTGTAGCACCGGTTACGATGAAAATAGTTATTCCAATTATACGGTTGTCATGACAACGTTACTTATTTTACAGAAATTCCAATGCACAGGTGTTATAAAATCAGTAGATTGTGAAATTCCGTTGACCTTTCTTTTTAGTTTCGGCTAATGACTTATTAACAGATAGTTGTTACCATGGCAATATGATCTCAGAAACAATGAACTTTTGTCCTTAGAAGAAAAACAGTCCTTTAAATTTAAGAGACAAAAATACGATTGCATTGGTTCACAGAAATTGCACATACAATGTTTTTTACTCAATTCTGAATCGCTTTGTTATAGACATAAAAGTTTACGTGCATTTTCTTGTCCAGTGAAAGCAAATTCAAGAATTGAAAAAGAATATATTGAGCAAGGTAAAATGTAGAACCCGAATTATCGTGGGGTTATGTCTATGTTGGGTAATGTCCGTGTGTCTTTCAGATTGGGCTTGATCAAAAATGTACGAAAAAATGAAAATACTAACTGCCATGATTACGTACATTATTAATCATACGTTTCCCAACATTTCCCCGCAATTGAGACTTTTCCCTTGATTCAAATTTAATCGTTATCATACTTGGCCTAGTTTTCGGATCCAAAATGTTAATTCTCTGCTGACATTGCTTGCATGAGCATAATCCATGTTACGTGTACCGATGGGCTAGAGCAAAATTTTTGTCCCTCAAAAAAGAACATAATATGCACATAATATGTAAAAATAATTTTTCATCAGCCGAAATAGGCGCCGAGGGATTCTAGTTGTCCTATTCATGGTGTTTACTTTTTCTTCCGATACATACGGTTTTCCATATAATCTCATAATATTATGGTATGTTACAGAGCGACTAGAGTTTGAAAGCAAATGGAGACCTAAGTGTAAAGACGAGGAGGTGAAAACACCACAACTATACGAAAGAAACAGACAGTTGAGATTGGAATTACAAATGCTGTACAAACAAGCAGACACCATCATCAGCCATGCTCAAGGTATCGTTCCCTTCTTTTAAAGTTTAATGCAGTTCTGGTTTATGAAAAGCTCTTCGCAGTTGAAGTATCATTTCGGAAATAAAAACTGGGTATACTCCAGCGATAATTTGATGAATAAATTTTTGGCACCGAGCTGGATTTAAAAAAACTTCAATCTAAATTTTTGAACTGAAATTTAATAATTATTTTTGCAGCAATGAAGCAACCTGATGACAGAAAAGGGATGGCGTACCCGTCACTCAAGGTAAATAGGATTGTTTCTTAAATTAAGTTTTCATTCTGATAATATTTCACAGTTGTGAAGAACATCAACACAAAATTCTGAAACTAAGAAAAAGTTCAAATGATTGTCTACAAACCAGTTTTTGAATTTTGTAATTTTGATACTCAGAAATAAAGTTATGACCCGTTAAAAAATATTGATTTCATTATAAAATACACATAAAATTTCAAACACGCCATTTATTCGGACACCCTGCTGTATGAAACCAGCTTGCTAGCTTTGGTGAGTGAAAATATGATATTTGCTTGATTTCAGACAAATTCATCTCAATATAAGCTTAGGAGAGACATTCAAACGACATTTCATGTAAAGTATTTCGTGTAGAATGTTTTTTGTAAATTCGCTGTTTTGTAGTAGTTAAGTAGTAACTAACGATTTATTGCTATAGAGACAGTAGTTTTATGTGTAGTATTATAGTGTTATACCATAACCATAGCCATGTGACCTAGTAGTTGTTCTCCAAACCAATAGTCATTGCATTTTCTGAAAATTATTCTAAAATCATGAACGAACGGTCATTAATTCCCTCATCTTGCAAAGTTCAATTCGATCTTAGAATCGATATTGTGATAAATACGGCCATAACTAAAAATGCCATTTCATCACCTCTAAACAACCTGATTGGTTACGAATCGGAAAATCCCTTCTTATCTCAGTTTATCATGTCGCTGTTTTAATTTAGTCGGTTTAGTTATTTCGCTGGTTTGATGTATCATATACATCAACATAGTGTATTACATATTTGACATGTTGCTTTCTTTATGCTGCACAACAATCAGAAAATACGAATAATTGAACAAAAAATTGCGTCTGTTCTTGTAGCAATTCTGTTCGTTGGACGTTGATAGTCTCCTGTTTTCAGAATAACCTAAGGATAAACCTGCAACGTCTTCAAAATGAGGTAACAGAGCTTACAAAACGGAAAGCCACAGCTCAGATCAAATATGAAGCTGAAAAAGGGGTAAGCAATTATTTATCATATTCTCATTCTTGTATCTAGGAGTCAGGACGCATTAAATTTTGCTACGAGCGCGAACTCCAAATGCGTCAACTGTGACAAACTTGCAAATCGTCAACGTTTTGTGTAGTTTTCTTTATCGAATTTCGCGCGCGCAATATTTCCGACATGCTTCATCAAAATATCCCTCACTCGAAGTTACCAAATTGCAATTAAACGATTTTTGATGCTATCTGAAACTATTTGATGTTGAATTATAATTATTTATATATTGAATATCGTTTTAACCCGATTTATTACTCATTACAGAATCGAGAAGGAGTCGAAAAGGAAGTTAAATCTCTCCGACAAGAATTGATAAACTCCAAGATAAGCAGCAGCGTTGGGGGGAGGTAACTGTTCGCTTCTTTTTCCAAAACATATCAAACCAATTTAAGACTTTATTGCTGGCACCAAATAGAGTTTTGTTTACAGATAAGTATTAGTGCAGATGGGAGAGTTTGACAGAATGAACACTTAGATTGTCTAAGCATTGTCGAGGCCCATGTTCTTATCATTTGATTGTCGCAGTTAGAAAAAGAAATGAAATCGAATGTTGTTTTTATTTGATATTTTGTTAAGCTACTTCATTGCTTAGTGCAATCAGACTCTTAGATTTTGTAGAATACTTTCACGTGATCATAAAAGTACAAATTTTGTTTCAATGGTGGAATGTGATTTCAGCATCCTAGCAGATTCCGAAGTCTGAGGCTTATCAGTTTAAAAGAGTTCAATTTTAAGAACACAATTGCATGTAATACAAGATCTAGCATCAACAATTATTAACCTAATCGATTAGGAGACATAAAGTTTACCTTAAGCATGACTTAAAACTGGGTTTTCTTAAACTTTTGAGACCGATTGAAGGTAATATACAGAGAATATCGTTAAGTTTGTACATAGTTTCATTGTGTAATTTAATTTTGATATCGTATTGTTTTAGCTACAAATCAATCGGCTTATATTTAATTTTTGACATTAATTTATAACAACATTAAAATAAGTTAAACAGATTCACCAACATCAAAACATGAGACATCATCAATAACATAATTCTTCAGTACTTTAACATTATTCATTATATGAAACTGGTAAAAGTTCACCCTATACACATTACACGCGTATAACTCTCTGACCCAAGTACCGGTCAAATCTTTCTTCCAGCCTATTCGAATTTTGATGTCAAATTCAGTAATGTGGATACAGGAACTTTGACTTTCCATCCGATGAGTAGGACTTCTTAGGGACTTCTGCACTTACAGTCGGCTTTACTTTCACATCTGAAACAACCCAAATCAGCCCATACCGGAGTACTTTGTCCAACATCTAAAACACTTGACTGAAAGTGTCATCAATAAAGTCCTAATTCTGATCAGACACTTTTATTTCTGCAAAATTAGTATACCCTTATACCTGGTATTTGCGGTTTCATAGATTTAAAAAGTGTCAACATTTCAGCATCTCTTTTCTCTTCAATCATTTCAGTGTACAAATCAGGGTACTCTTGGAATATACCCACCTGAGATGAATTTATGTAGTTGTAGAGATCTGTGTATCTATGCCATTACAACACTATGACAATGTACCAAAATGAAGGGTTCGGGCGCCTTATTGTATTTGTAATTTCTAAGAAACCTAGCAATTTTACGATAGAATAACAAGCATCATTTTATTTTGAAATGTAAGCTCTACGACTCACTCACCATTCTCTTTTTAATGTGATTTATTGTGTGAATAGTGTTCGATCTCCAAAGCTGAAAATAATAGAAAATAGTAGTAAAACAATAGATCGATATTACCCAAATCGTATTTTAGTCCACAACAGACTAAAATACGAGACTGATTGATCGACTTAATATAACTAGGAAACGGGTTCGACAAAAAAAATATAAAATTCACAAAATATGCAAAATTTGATAGCTGTAAGATCTTGGTTTGTTTTGTCAGTTTGGTCGTTTTCTGCACCTGACTTACCTCTGAAGAATCTCTGGCAATAACGCTGTTGTGAGGAATCATGCTCCATCCTTTGTGAGGTTCCATAGGGTCGGCTGGTGCCTGGAGGACCCTAGCCAGGCCCTTAGCTTCCATAATTTAACAATATAAACAGAACACAAAAAAACAAAAACTTATTTTATCTCAACTCCGGAGGAAAATGTAGCTGTGCAGTGGCTCTGTAGTTAAAAAACCTCGTTCTCGATCATGCAACAGAGCAACTAAGTAGATTTAAACTACTGGTCACATGGCTGAATGAAAGTAATTGTCATTAGATTGATCTCCATCCATTGGTGGCTTAATAAGTCACGTGACTAGAATAATTGTAGACTTTAAAATTTACGGAAAAACTTGTGCTTGATTTTGCTTATCCGTTGCTGAATCTATGCAGTATTATCCATTATGCTATAATACCTTTAAATCATGTCAACAAGTGCACTCATGAGATCTTTTGTTTGCTAAATGGCTGTAAACTGTCTTTGTCAGATTGAAATGTCATAACCACACTTGCAGATTTGCATGTGCTAGTGGTTTGAATTTTCGAGAAAGAATTAAGACACTCGACTGAAGAAAATAACTTGTAAAATTTTGGAAACTACAATCTTCAAACGTATCAAAAGTACTCAAACTTTATAACAAATAACAATACTCAATTCATACAAAAATCTTAAAAATCAAAACCAATATACATCAACAACAGACCTGTAGTATTGCTTCGGCATTATCGTACTTCAAAGTGAACATAAAAGCCAAGTAGAGACTAGGTAGGACAAGTGAAACTACTGTTTAGGAGGAAACTAAAAGCTCGCGTTTCCTCCTAAACAGTAGTTTTGTCCTACCACTTGTCTACTACCCGATATTATCCCTAAAATCATTATCTCGTCATGAGACTGATAAACAGCGAACCTCTCTAAAATCTTATATAACAGCCAAATACCGATTAACAACTAAAAATAAAATACTAACTCAATAAGTGCTCAGAGTGGATTTGATGCATGGAAAGTTTGCACGGTTGTTCATGAAATGGTGCTGCCTTAAGAAGCATTACAGTCTTAATTAGTTTGAAGTTTAGCTTTCAGTATCGAGGCTGAAATCATTATACTTCCACGGTACTAATACTCTGATGTAGCGTAACATAGAAACTAACAAAGTCTGCTTGTCAAGCTAATCGAGCTGCAAAATCGTTCTTTTATAGTTTTCATCCAGCTCATTGACAAAAGATATATTGTCTGCCGTGGATAACTAATGTTCTTCTATTTACTCAAGACACAAAACAGCTCAGTAACATTGACACTGAACATGTTTTGTCCGGTCAAATAATATTCAATCTAGATAGAAATCGGAAGGGGGAGTGGGAAACCTGCGCCAGTAATGTTGAGAGTATCACAACCGCTGTCCCAGGTTATCCTGCTCATTCTATGTAAATCATCAGAATTTACCCCGTCAATGTACTCAGACTCACGCTTCTCGGACTCACGCTTTTCTAAAGTACGTGAAGTCCACCCTGGAGTCAGGCCTGGCTCTCTCACATCTTCTTTCGTGAAACATCCGGTGATATAGTCGGACTGATCCCGCATCTTAGGTGACCCAAGCTCTTCGTAGATCCCATCTTCTTCATCTTCAGCGGAGGGGTTTGCTATGACGATGTTGCTGGGAGCAGGGCCATGGTGGAGGTGAGGACTGGAGGTCTCATCTTGTAGGACAGTCTCCTTGTGGAGAACACTCTTGTCTTGCTGGATTGAGTGAGTCATGTCCACCAGATCGCTAGCTGGAACTGCTATATTCTTTACGTTGTATCCGACAGTAGCGCACTGTTTCGTCACAAACCAGTTGAGTGCAGCTGTTAGTGCCAGAGTGAGGAGTATAAACCCGATAGTTATAAAAACTGTTCCGTATATCCAGGGTATTTCTGGGCAGGAGTTTATCTCGGGAGTGCAGCGATTCGTCATCATGTTGTCGTAGATGCGTGGTGGAAGGTTTTTTAAGCATAAAGTTGTTTCAATTATCTTAGCGAATACATCAAGGTTTATCATGATTGATTGTAAGCAAGTAAAGCGGACAAGACAGCTGTAATGTAACAGAAAGTAGTATCGATGCAGATGTAAGATTGTGACGAACCTGGACAGTGGACAAGTTTTAGAAACTTCACCCATAACGCTGCTTTCTGTCCTATAATTGGCTGATGACTGTTTTAATCAAGTTCAATTGGAGGAGAGGCAGCGCAACTTTCAGAACTACTTTAACGTTGAGTAGCTACATAGCATACAAAGGAGGGATAGCATAGTTGTGTATTTTATTATAGCATTGAGGTAATAGGTATACCTACCGGTAGTGATCACTTTACTTCTTGGTTCTAGTTCTTTATACATAGTATATAGGCAAAGCCATTTAGACGTCATGGTCACGATTTTAGTTAACGGGTGATACCCCTGCAATATTTGTTTTAAATAGAATTCTTTCAAATCGTTTCAAAATCAAATAAGATAAACGTTTCAATTAATATAACTCTATATATATATATAGGTTAGACAGGTTTCCAAATTTAGCTGCTGCCTGGTTTTTACTGCTATAATTTCGGAGACACAACAGAAACAATGATTCATTTGACACACGCTGTAACCCCTTTTGAGCGCACGCCGGCCGGCCGGCGTGCACGCTTCGCGTGCACGAGAGGTATACAACGTGTAGCAATGATTCATGTAAATTTTAATATAATAATAATTAACACGGAATTTTAAGAATGTGAATATACGGGAACATATAAATGTCAAAATTTGTACAAATCAATGTCAAAATAGCAGTTCATGTAAACTTCTCGCTGATCCTCTTGAAAAGCTCCTGGATGGCAGTGCTGGAAAGACATCTTGAGTCCTCTGGGAGGAATGTCGGGGATCGTAACACGTAAGTGGCAATCATGTTGAGTCATCATGCGAGGGCTCTGTACTGTTGGCAACATCTGCTGCTCGTTCTGTGGCAGCTTCTTCTCTGAGGAATAAGATATATAACACTTTATGGTCTTTCAATTTGTGTCATGTTGTGTGAATTACTATACTAGATTTGCTTGTACAAATATGTGTAACGTTATTTCAATATTGACTTTAAATTTAAACTTACTCTAACATTAACATTAACAACCGGTACTGTGCTTGGAGCTGCACTATCTCTGTAGCTATCTGTAGGCTGTAGCTATATTGCCCATTCGGACTTCCCGAGAGGCCCGCTCCCTTTTGGTGCGGTCGTAACGCCTGTTAGACGATCTGACCCGGTACCTCAGCCTCAGGTCCACTTCCTCCAGCTCCTGCCAGGAGAAGCCTCGGCCGTTATCGAGCCTGCTGCCTGCTGCCTGAGGTACCGGGGCAAAACTTCTATACTACCAATGGTAGAGATCCGTAAGGATTTTTCCCTACTCCGCTCGAGCCTATAACGGGTCATTTGTTGGAGGACTTCGCCGCGCAAACTAGCATTCTTGCTTCGCAGATCGTTGCGATCTGCTTCGCAGAGCAACGATCTCGATGTGGATGCAGGATGGATTGACATCGTTTGATCATTGTTAATGATCGGGCCGGGGGGGCGCTACTTCGTAGCACTTGCCATCGGGCCTAACATTTCGAGAAGAAAGCGGCACGCGCTACTTCGAAGAAATTTAGACGAGTAACTAGGTAGTGCGCCATCGACAGTGAGTCGCGCATGCCGACTGTAGGATGGTTTTTTAGCGCTATAAATTTCGGCCAGCACAATTTTATTCAAACAAATAGATATTAAGTATCCTTCCCGACTTCACCTAACCATGTGCTTTCGCGCCACTGCGGGCGCGCTTGTTTCACAAGTCAAGAAAAGCACCTATCCACGAACACCGATGGGAAGGTTCGTGCGCGCGCGCGCAGTGCTGACAACAGCGTCTATGTAGCGCAGGTAGTCTTGGCACGTCTCGTCGTCTCCCTCCAGTAACTACTTTTCAGGTCTTTTCAGTTAAGACAGCTAATGCATAAGGGCTGACACAAGTTAAATTTATAACAATGTCAATAAATTTTGTAAATTTATAGCTTTCTGCCAGAAATAAATTTTCGGTTTCTATAGTGTATAGGGGTTAATTAGATATAAACTGCAGTACAGCTGTACTTACACCTACATTCACAAGCACAAAGCATGCAAGCTCACCTGGTCCAAAGAGCGGGAAACGGAGGACAAGGTCTGGTGACGTCATAGTCACGTGACCTCATAGGCTCATAATCACGTGACCTCAGACCCAATCAATTGGGTTCGGGCATGGTCAGCCCCCTGTCACCCGATCTTGAGGTGACGTACGACACCTCGTTTACGCGATCAATGTCTGAAGGCTACAAATTTTTACATGCCAAATTCACAAGATTCTTAAAGAGGTGTGCGAGATGACGATATACATAGAGTGTAGAGGCCGCATAATTATGAGGTCTACATAAGCGATTCATAATATCACGACAGGCCCTATAGCTCAGGTGACGTACGTGGTGTGATGATCGAATACTTTAATCGTAGGCTATGATAAATGCCTCATGTTCATTTTAATTTTGTAGTATTCACTTTTAAACGAATAAAATAAAAGAATTGTGGTATTATAATACAAACAATCAAAATTCACGATCAAATTATATCAATAAACAAATATTTACTACTATGTTACTGAGAAAATACTACAATATAATCAAGGTACGATGTTGGATACCTGAGTTCTATATCTTTCGATAGCAACTCCATCTATGTATCTGCTTAGCTTCCATCACTGATCCTGGTACTTGAGATTCCAGGTGTGGCTTTAAACAATGTTAAACCAAAGCCGCCTCTTGGAACACTGCTTTCTTTACTCTCTTTGTAACACCAAAGTAGTTTAGTAGGGCTGGTAAGGTATGATGCCAGAAGCCTCTACACCCAACCTCTACCGTAAAAAGCTGAGCTTTCCACCCACTGCCATGCAGCCCAGGAATAAGCTCTCTGTTGTAACGTGCTTGTTTACGTTCTACTTGGTCACTAAAGTTACTCTCGTCACCAACTGTCAACTCTACTAATATGACCACCTTTCCTTTATCAGACCAGACTACAATATCGGGACGTTCTGCAGTTCCGTAGATGTGCTGGGGGAACTGTGCTGGGAGGTCATCTTCGTCCCAGATAATCTGCCAATCTTGGTCTTTCTCAAAAGGGCTCTCTCTTTTCATCTTCGTCTTCGGT